GCGCTGCTCATTGGACTTGCGGAGTGAGGCAGCTTAGGCCGAGAAATGCGTGCCCGCGGTGCAATTAATTGAGTCCTGCTTCAGTGACTTGGCTTGCTTTCCTTTCTATTCGCTTTCCCCTTCATTCTATAGATTGATAGTACATAATAATAATCTACATTAAAGTTCACAAATTACTGATCTCAGTATGTTTCTAGGAATTGTTTTTGCTGCTTAAGGACAAAAAAGTTGTAGTTCACAAGTTCTGTCTCACACTGAAGAATATCATAAAAATAATTCAGATGGAGAGTGCAAAAACTCAATTTTATAATGAGCCATTATGTGAGGATGTTATGAGAAAAGATTTAGAAAAAAACGATTTAGCTTGCTGTTCTGAACAAACTGCGCAATTCTTTTTTCAGGGAACCTGATACGGTACTATGAGTATGGAGTTATACCATATACATGATATACTACGTTCGTTTGTTTGAATTAGAAGTTATACTACATTTCGAGTGTTGATACTCAATAATGAACTTAACGAGGATATGCATTGTTCAATCACAAAGCAGCCACCTTCATTTTCAACTGGGGCAAGTTCCACATTTGTGTTTCAATCTCTTATAGTTGCGCTTCCAGTCCGTAGGAGCTGTTCGACGGAAATGTGATCGTCGTGATCTTGCCATTTTTGGTGCTAAAAGCTCACGATTCCTGGTTTTTCTCTTGGAAATTAAATGGACTCGAATTTTGACGATAAACGCAGTCGATTGAGTGCGCTGGAACGTGCGTCCCTCGCAGTGTCGCAATCATCCGTCGATGCTTTCGATGAGACCTGCAGCGAGCGCTGGCGGTTCCTTGCTGCGCGACGACTTTCCCAGATATCCTACGCTTGCGACATCTGATTTAATGCCCCTTCTTGCATTGTGATATCTGGATATCGAGTTCCATCAACTACCAGCACTAGCATTAGATATTAACAACCGCGGTCTTCGAACGATGCGAGCCTTTGTGGTTTGCGCAATTGTGAAAAACTCGCTAACGTGATTTAAACGTGACTTCCGGATTAATTCAGCTTAGAATCTCCCAAATTCAATTCAAGTGATAACGTGGTTGAACGAAAGTTGTGTGAATTTTCAACTTTTTTTCTGAAAATTCTATTTGAAACGTTGCAAATGGTAAATTGGTGATCTAGAGGTTAATTCAATTAAGACTGTTGTGTATACTATATTGGGCGTATTTTCCTTCTCAATCCGGTGAGAGAAAAACAGATCAGGTAGGAATAATATTGGGACTGATCAGGTAGGAATATCATTTTAGTTCGTTATATAGTATTGAAATTTTTTTCACTATTCAAAATTAATTATTGAATATCTCATGGATGTAACCAGAAACAAATGTACATCAAATTTAACCTGATTTCAAACTGAACGTCCAAATATATGAGTACCTATAAAGCAAATAGTTCATAATCTCGACATTTCCTGGTCACACAGTTCTAGAAAAATTAAAAATTAGCATAACCGGTTTTTCGACGCTTCCTACACCGGAAACACGCTCTCCTTAGACGTGAACGCACGATCAGGAATTTCTTTTGTGCTCGGTGGAGGCATCACAAATCAATTTACACCCGTATAGTCGCTCGTCATTGTTCTATTCCATCTTCCCTGATTTTGTTTCTCCATGTGAGAATGTCTGGACCTTCTGATGCGACTGGGGGCAATGATCCCAACTTGCGTCCCCATTGCAACTGCGTCTGGCAATTGCGGTGGGATCAATCCCGCTCGTTACTGCGAATTATCACGACCACATGCTGTAATGCTTGGGCATAAATCCCTTAGTAAATAAGGTACAAGGATAAATTTGTGAAGTTGCTTGTGCCTGCCATATTGAAAAAAGTACATTTTTTTCAAATGAATTATGGACTGCATTTTGGTAGATGAGATGGAGTTGGAATAGGTTAACTTCCACAATACAAGACGGGAGCGATGGAAGGTTTAAAATATATGTAAGATAATCAACATAATTTCTTCAATTTTAGCCCATGTGGAACTTTGATGTTTCACAAAATGTAAATTAAAAGCCATCATGGGGCTAGAATTGGTTCTCTCCAATGCAGTGCACTTGAGGCTTCTTCGCAAGCAATCCACTAAAACTGAGCGACAACTTCCGCCTCAAAGAATGTGGTGACCATAGTTTTTGTTGGTCAATCATAGCTATGCCGAAATAAACATGTACATTGTGCAATGAAGACTTGATCCATGTGTGATGCTGTATTTGTTTTTGAAGAGGCTTGACCATTATCAGCAGGAATCGAAGAACATGTTTGGCCTAAATATAAAAACATTCACAGCTCTAAAATTCGTGCTAAAGCTTTTATAAATAAATATGTCTTATAATTCTGATGCAAGTAAGAGAAATATCGCCAGTGCCAATTCATATTGTGAATCCCTCTGTCTGAGTTGGGATATAAATGTTAACATTTATTAACCAAACATTTCTTAGAGTGAGATTAGACATGTGAACATTTTCAGGCGAACCATAAAGTTTTTCAATATTACTGCAGGAATGAACATGACATATACGAAGTGTTTTTACGTGAATTTTTTCAATTTTATGTAGCACTAGAATGATAATTATGCACAAAGCGTTTTTAGGTATTCCCTTTTCTATCGTTTTCAATATCACGTCGAAGACCTAAGACCAATTATGTAATCGATACTCAAAGTTCTAAATTAGAAATATATTATTTCTGTACAAACGTTCGTATGTGGCGACCGTGGTGTCTGTAGAGGCCTCGGTGTAGGCACGACGCTTCGTCTAATGCAACCTTTCACCGCACCCACCAGCGCCGCGCTGCTGACGCTGCCTGCGCTGCGGCAGCGCCCCGCACCAAACACTTGTATTGGTCCTGTAGGTCCTGGTAGTTCACCATGTGAACGAATTTGTGAAGATTTTCTTTCTATGTTACTTCTGTAATAAAATATCGAAGCAAAAAGTCATAACCTGTTCTATGATTTTTTGGAAAAGATCGAGCCATTCGATTGTTCACAAAAGTATGATTAATTCAGAGACGGGAATTTAGCGCCATATGGAATGCATGCCGTGGAAATTTTTTTTCTAAATTCTTACTCTAAAGATACAAATACCTAATTATTTAAAGTCTCCATCGCAAGACAGAGTGATTCTGATCTGCTTGCTCCATCTTCGAAGAATGAACATGTCCCTTGCATAGCTCTTTTTCACAATCACATTGGTTCTGTTGCTCATGTGTTTGCCTAGTATAATTCATTCATCATGGCATCTTGAACTTGAGTTCAATTCGAATGTGCGGCTCTCCGTGGAGTTATTTTTGTTCAGCAGCAATGCCTGCCGGCGTTGTGACGGCGGGCAACGTCGTTGCCCTTGCATCGCTTACGATGATGTTATCGAGAGCGGTGCATCATAACACCTGTGCTGCCACCTGCATACATCCCTGGCCGTAACTTGCATCACGCGCGATGATGTTATCGAGAGCGGTGCATCATAACACCTGTGCGGCCACCAACACGCTCATTCATCTTTTTCAGGGTTTAGTGGCCGCATTTGCATTCGTTGCTGAGACCTAAGCCTGTACTCCAACACAGCATGAGCTATCAGCCTCATGTTATCTGATCGTCAAGGAAAGATGCACGCCAAGTACAGAGGTTCTGATTTGATGACGACGCGAGGAACGAGTTTGGGTTCAAGGACGTCGACGACTGGACAATCAAGACGTGTAAAAAACGTCATACTGTCGACCGAGACATTTAGGTAGCAAGTTCGTATAAGCTCTCCATGGACATAAGTATCCAGGATTATATATAATATTCGTCCATGATCGTTTATCATTTACTGGTTGATCTCCTGTTTACTTTCGTTGCTTATTTATATAAGATAATCCGTAGGTCATGTATTAAGTAAGATAATCAAATAATTCTTCAACTATTTTCTTCACAAAAACTGCGTATCAACGATTGTTTTCACGCGTCAAAAACTGCGTATCAAGGATTGTTTCCACGCGTAGCATGAGAAAATGATTCGGAATGTTAAGATCCGTATAATATAGTTCGAGCAAGTATAAATACTAGCAATTATTGTTAGTCCATTAATATTCATTATCTTCATGTAAATTACTCGTTGAAAAAATTAGGGATATTCACAATGAAATTTTTTGTCAGCCAAACATGAACAACTCGACAAACAGAAGAGTCAGCCATGTGGGTTACGCAGGCGGCGAGCGTTGACCCCTAAACGCGACTGCTGCGAGTGCGCGGCAGCCTGTGTAATTATACCGAGTATTCTGCAGTCACTTGTTCTTTATTCCTTTTTGATATCTGAACATCTCGGATACCTGAACATCTCATATTGCTTTGATGTTGAAGCATAGCCTGGTTCGGTGCAATCCTTCCTTGGAAAATTCAATTCACATTTACGTTCATCATGCTAGTGCCCCAAGTTTGTCAACATGGCACATGGTAATACTGATTTCAATTCTTGATAGGATGAATAGTTTGATTTATATATTTTTACTATGCCATCGAATTTGCTGAAATTGTTTATTTGTATATCGCTATTTTTTGCTAGCTAATATATATGAATCTCCTGTAAATGATTCATCAATTGTTCGTGTAAGCAATTCGCGTTATTACAGATTTTCATCTTACGCTTGGTTTGTCCCATGTGAGGATGTGTCTCTATGTATATTTATTGATGTTTCGCCGACTAGCCAGCCAAGCACAGTGTGACTGGATGATGCGTTGAGGGTCAGAGTAGCGCGCACTACATAAAAAGACACGTAACGGCTGGCTTGCGCTGCCCAAGAATGTTGCCAGGCAACGCTGTGTTGACCTGACTAGAGGACAACCGCAAGCAATTCAATAATTTCGTCGTCATCGCACCACGCTGGTTATTTCGAGATGTTCATATCAGTTGCGGTGTTGATACTAACTTGTATTGCTGTGCAGTGCTCTCCATTTTAAACGTTTTCTTATTTACCAACAGATTTTAAAGACACATACATATTTAAAACTTCTGAGTATCACGTTATAAGCATGAATTGGTTATTAAGGTAAAATTTAATACACTTTTGTCCTTGTGAAGACCGTAAGTGGTAAAAATCCGTGTAAAAGCTTGACAAAAACGTACGAAAATATTCGTGCATTTTGCGAACGAAGCCAGTGTACCTGTTTTATTCAAGTGACTCAAGTTAACAAGAGTATTAGTGAGTGAAGAAAATACGGCTGCTCCTTTATTCTGAACTTCCATCGTTACTGGTTCAAGAGCTGCTTCAACGCCTGCCTCTGACCCTGAGCAGTGAAAGTTAAACTTTAAACCTCGGCTGTGAGGAGGCAGCCAGCCTCATCTTGTCTTGCTAGGCCTACCTTCACCCCCCGCACCCCAGGGTCTACACTTCCTCACCCTCACCCCCAAGGGGGACTTCTCAGCAGCCGCCCATACAGAATTATGGCCAAGAGAGCTGAGTTGAGAGCCTCGCTAATACTGCTGCTGTTGAGCAGCTGTTGTTCATCGTCTGCGACTCCTCAGGTAAAGCAAGCCTCAAGTTGTCATTCATTTTCACAGTCAAAACTGTAAAATAATAATAACAATTGAAGGCTTTACTGCTTCATTATTTTGTTCATAGCCTTATTTTGAAATTTTCAGCACAATCATGGAATTTGGTAATCTGGTAACGGTAAGTCTCGAATCTACAGGTCCGTCCAATCCTATTTAGAGTATGCACATCCACTTCATTATCTCACAAAGAGATTATCGTCATTAAATTATCGGCTTCTATGTCTACATCTTGGGAAGCATTGTTTGCCTATTTCTTAATTTGGATACCGGCAGCAGCTTTATGTAGTTAGTGTTCTTATTTTCTGAGCAGGAATTTATTGCATGTATTCAAATGGTATATATATCCTGATCGCGTGGAAGGCATCAATGCACGTTCATTAGAGCGATGATGCTAAAAAATAAAGGATATTTAAGGTTTTATTGCTTAATTAACGAATAATTGCAGTAAGTAAAACCATGCGCTACAATGGAAGTGTTCTGGCGTTTGTCTGAGACAATCGTCGCTACATCATTTCTTAGGTAAAGCATACCTGGATGATTAGCTAACCTAGTCCTTAGTTAGGAACAAGTTATGAGGTACCCGCTGAGCAAGACATGGTAAGCAATTGGTTGTGTTGGCGCTCATCTATCTCCTGCCGAACAGGCGATGGATATTTTGACTTTGTTATTATTTGACTTGTTTGTTATTATTTCACTTGTTTGTTATTATTTGACTTGTTTGTTATTATTAGACTTGTTTGTTATTATTTGACATGTTTGTTATTATTTGACCTTTTTGTTATTCCACATTTTTTTCTCCAGACTGGCAGGCTATCCCATCCCGGTAATGCCCGGGTTAGACAGTCCTAAAGTTTATCTTAATTAGACAATGAGCATCCAAGTGTTCGCCGCTTAGAAATTTCAAGACAATGTTAATTTTTCTTTAATTTAAATCTAACTAATTGCAAAGTTAAAATAGCTCGACATTTTTTAATTTAGCATCCGATTTTTCATACCTCGTAGTGCCAACACAAAATTTAAATTTCAATTGAGCTATGTTCATGTACGATATGCATTGCGGACTCATGCTTCAATAATCTTGCATATTTTCAATCATAGTCTTCAATAAAAAAATAAACGTATTAGCGGTATTACCTGATATGTATTACAATTCCTTTTTGGGCTATTCTATTTTCTTTTTCTGGAAAGATTATTCAATATCTCGTGACATATTGACAGGTTAAATGATAAGATTATAAATGCCATTTGTTAGCTGAGTGCTAGCATACGCCGTTCCTTAATTAGAAGTACGTGGCACTGCGGAAGAACTTCTCTCAGCTTCATAAGTTCCCCATCACGACAGCACTCGGGCGGCAGACACGAGCTGCTCGCTATGGTCGCACAATGTTATATGGCTTGGTCTGCATTATGGGGGCTCCTCTGTAACATATTACTTCAATATTTGTTAACGTGAAAGACGATATATAACATACATGTCCCTATACATATTTCCCAGTATCGATAGCATTCGAAGGGACACACTATATCGCACACCCAAAATAGTATTCGCGTAGCGATCTGGTGTGCATCAGAATCATTTATCTTTTATTTTAAATTATTATTTACAATAAATTTAATTTGAAAATTGAAAGAAATGAATTGAAATAAATAAACATCATTATTTAAATTATTATTTATTAAAAATCCCTATTTTCCATGAATTGTGTGAATTCTACAACAGTAAATACAATGTAATTTTAGCACGCCTTGTCTTTAAATTTCTGCACTGGTACATCTTCAATGTATTAGTGGACATTATTGAAACACGCAAATGTTCGCGTTGGGAGTTTCGAGCCAACCAAACGAGATGCAGTTCGCCCACAAGTGAAGCCTCGGTCCATAACTGCGTGGTGCGCACAAGCGAACTGCTCCTAGCTGCACGCGCCCTACACCATGCGCATGAAGGCTTCCCGACTTCCTCATGCTCTTCATTACGAGTCGTTCACATCCTGCTACGCTGGGCGGTGTAGAGGTCATATAAATTCATCAGCAGTAAAGATCAATCACTCGATACTGCAAGAATCATTTGCCTATCCGTGTTGCACGTCGTCCAGTAACTCAGTGCTGATGGCATTGATGAGTGTTCAATGCATCACGTTGCTCGACCGTCTCTCCCTGCAAAGATCTCTTTTATTAGGGTACGCATGCCTGTCTTGCTGTTCGGTGTTCGCAGTTATTTTGACATTTGTTTTCTCTGCGTTCTGCGATTAGTTTATGTACGGTGAAATGTTAAACGTTTGTCTTCAGCAAAGTCGATCAATTCGTATTAAAAGTTTGTTCAAGAAATTGGATACGAGTTCGTTTGAACTTGTTGTCATGAGTTGCAGAATAGATTCCTGTTTCAGTTTTAGAGTTTCAATTACAGTAACTGACCTCGTCCACGATACGAGGGCAGCTGCGCCCTCCACCCTTATGGATGAGGGACTAACTGACGGCTCTAAGAATTCCACTGAAAACAATAATTTTGTTTGGAATGTACAACTTTCTGGGCTTGAAATTCAGACGTTAAATTGCACTGCCATTGGAACAAGTTGTTAATAATTTAAATTAAAAAATATAACTCAGTACTTACTGCAGTGAGTGACAGAGAGCGCATTTTCTCGTCGACGAAAACTTGAGGTCACGGACAGACGGACGGACAGACAGACGGATGGACGGACATGGCGAGCACAATAGTGCATTTTTTTCCATAAATGAGAAAATGCGCTAAAAAGGTGTAATTGATTTTTCTGTTTTGATGGTGAAATTTCTTCAGGAAGTTTCAAAGCTTTTAGTTTACCGCAACGAATTGTGATCAAAATATGATACCATCCCGTTTATAACTAAATATTTTATTGTTAAATTTATCTGGAGTATATTGAGAATCACTGCAGTACGATCAAGCTAACTAGCTCCACTTTAAATTATTTATGCAAGATAGGATACAGGATAGTTAAACTATCCTTTAAAAAAAATCCAGTTACACCCATCTGCCTATAACTAAGCAACCTCAGGAAAAATGAGTAGCGGAATTACGTGCGTTGTTTTAACTACAAGATTCGCCGCACGGTGCATGGGTGTGTATCTTAAATCCCCACGAGCTTGAACTTGCTCACTGCAGCCCTTGTCGCGCGCCGCCCTTGAAGTTTAGAGGCACGCATCCCCGCGCTGCTGTGCTGCTGGTGAACCTCTCGATCGTGACCGCCAGCCTGGCTAAGAGGGAGAGTTTCTTCGGTGCGGCGGCTTGCTTTCTTAGTTGTGCCGTGGCTGATATCTTTTCCTTTTCTTATTTCTGTATTATCTTTAATGCGCATTTTATTTTTTAACATTCTGGCTGTTGGTATAATTATTGTTTCGAATGATGTTTATCGACGAGGTTGTTCTTTCTTCGATTCTCGATTCAATTGGTTAATTTTTGCGAGACATCCTATATTGGTAGGACTTGCGACTGAGTTATTTTACTTAATTTATGTGCATTTTCTGTTGAGACTAGAGTACAATAATATAAGTCAAATCATTGAGACGTTTCTTTCCTGTGTCGGTAAAGTTAATCATCAATTGCGATGTATGGAACATGTTTAGCATTAGCGTCAAGGCGAAGACAGTTGTTTTCATTGCCAAGACTGTTAAAGACAATGAATGGTCGTAAAATGCGCTACAGCTCTTGATTACGGGGCGGACCCAACGTCCAAAGCATGTTACCTGAGCACTCCTGCCGAGCGAGTTGCGGGACCATTGCTGCTCTGCAGGCGGGGAGTAAACAACTGCACCTCAAGAGTCATTTTCCCGAGTAGGGAGTGAAAACGTCTATACAGAAAAAATGAAGCCAAATTGCTATCAAATGGAGCTCGAGTGCTTCCAAACGGGACAAATCTTCTGTGGGACAAATTATGGTTATATATCAATGTAATATCGTTGATGCAATAAACCCTTTATCAATGTTTTCACTTAAGAACTCAATAAAAGAACATCCAAACTACTGTTTTAGGATTTTTTTTTCAGTGTCAGTAGAATTGTGAAAAATTGTTTTAGTAATTCTTGCTGAAATTGAAATGACGAGGTCATTCGTGCCTAATTTCAGTGATAAACTAATGTACGGATATTATTGATATTATTTGAAAAATCTGAGCTTCCCTTACTATAAATCTAGCTTCTACTGTAATCATTATCGTTTACTTTGTTACATTGAACTAAGAATCGTAGCGCAACATCTCTAGTACGTCCAAATAAATATTTTCAGCTAGCCTGTGAAATATTTCGTCATATTCAATTCGATATTTTACTTGAGCTGGCAGGAATATTTCCGAATTTCAGATAGCCCCAGAGCAGCCATTTTATCCTCACCATATCGCACATGCCGTTCTTGTATCCGATTAATTCATTTTATTAGGGGAACATTTCAGGGAAGTTTTCAGGGAGGCAATCCCTTGCTGTGGTGCGACCTTGTAGGGCCGTGCCACGGCCGTGGCACGACCGTGACACGCGCCATCGCAGCACGGCCGCCACGACCTCTGACACGACCTTTTCCAGCACAAACACGACTCAGATCACTTTAATTGTACTCCCTTAACTTTGTCTGCTATTTTTCGAGCGTAAAAATTACTATGGTTTATGGTTTGTTGTTCTAGAGCTTTGAGAGCGCTGAAAGGTTGTTAATTGAAAATGACCTTTATTTCATGCTACGAATAGTGACATCGAACTGTGATATTTACGAGAAAATAAAGACGCCGTACCTGTAAAAGATATTGAAGCATTTTTCATACCAATGATTGGGAACCAATAACTTATTATGTTGTAAACCGCTTAATATGATGGTCATAACGACTAAATTTTTAGGAACAAATTTAAATCCGCAATTCAGTTGTTCTTACTAAATCCATTTCAAGCATCATTTCTTTAACATTGCGTCTGTTGAAATTTGGTGCTTCGTCTACCGGATAATTTTTTTTTCACCGTAAAAAATACTGTATGAAAGGTGATGCATCAATTCCTCTCAACTTCTTAGCCCAGATAACGAAAAGAAACTCTGAGCAAAATGTAACGTGCCGAGGTGTACAGTAACTTGTAGAGCTCTACAGTGATATATACTGAGGTCTATTGTAACGTGCAGGGTAGTGGAACGAGGGTTCTATTGCTATTTGTATATCACCGATACTAATTATCGTCATCGCCTTAATGATGAATATTTAATTAGTAATATCAACAATAATTAACAGGAGAGCGTTTCGTAATGTCAACAATAATTAACAGGAGAGCGTTTAGTAATATCAACAATAATTAACAGGAGAGCGTTTAGTAATATCAACAATAATTAACAGGAGAGCGTTTAGTAATATCAACAATAATTAACAGGAGAGCGTTTAGTAATATCAACAATAATTAACAGGAGAGCGTTTAGTAATATCAACAATAGTTAACAGAAGAGCGTTTAGTAATATCAACGATAATTAACAGGAGAGCGTGATCACGGAAGAGTCGAGCACTGCGTCAGTGCGCGGCAGCTGCGGTGCCTCGTCCAGCAGCCACGGCGTGTGTGGCCCCGACGGTAAGCTGAGATGCCGCGCGGGCTGGACAGGCAGGCTGTGCGACCAGCCCGTGTGCAGCGCCAACTGCCACAAGCAGCACGGCTTCTGCACCAAGCCTGGCGAATGCATCTGCCAAATGGGTGAGCACTGAAATAAACTAGTATTGTTGACAGAAAATGTTTGTGGAATTGTTAATTTAGTTGTCCAATAGATTTTAAGCTCAACTGCGTTGGTAAACGTAAGATATTCGTGCCTAAGCCTCATCAATCCACTGTACGTGTCCAGGCTGGCGAGGCGAAAACTGCGACGAGTGCATCCCGCTGCCGGGCTGCGAGCACGGCTCGTGTAACGGCACGAGCTTCACCTGCTCCTGCCACGACGGCTGGACGGGCCCGCACTGCTCGCAAGGTTGGTTCCGTCACTGTCTCTGCCGCATGACAACCAGTCGCCATTAATGAACTTTTATGTTCATATGTTTACAATTCATTTGTTTTTCATTGTATTAACTATCTTGCAAGTAGTTTATTGATTTTAGAATTTGTTTCATACATATAGTGAGCTCAATACAGTCATCTCAAGTCTTGTCAACTCAGCTCATATTTGTGATAACAAGTCGGTATTTCGGTTAGGTTCGGTGCTATATAGTTTGAGTAAACCTGCTTCAGATATGCATAATTTACATGCAATATATAACTATACATTCCTATTTATTATAAATCTTATCCAATTGTCGTGAGAACCATCACGGTGCTTCAGTGCCAGCAGTGTTTCGTTACAAAGTCAGTAAGTTGATGTATCATTCCAGTTTAATCCCAGTGCTACGTCAATAAGTTAATTCCTCGAATGACTCATGATCTGTCGATACTGAATTCAGACAGAAGATATAAGCATCAGTAAGTCTATTGCTCGAATTATATATCCTCTTGTCACGGCTGGAAGTTAACGTGTCTTGTCGCTGACCAGCTGTGTGCCGCGCGGGATGCCACGCGACCCGCGGCTACTGCGACAGCCCTGGCGAGTGCAAGTGTCGCATCGGGTGGGGCGGCGCCACGTGCGACGAGTGCGCCGTCGTGCCAGGCTGCCAGAACGGCTACTGCCAGAAGCCTCTCGAGTGTCGCTGCAAACCGGGCTGGACTGGCAACCTCTGTCAGACACGTGAGTCTTGCCACATTCATAAGCCCCCACATGAAATGCAAAGGATAAGAGCGCGAGTTTCACATGTTCTCCAGTGGAGATGACAAGCAAGATGTATCAATAAACATCACTTGAACAGCCACACGAAGCACTCCTCTGACTAATTTGTACGATCAGATTTCACCACTAAACTTGTAACAAGTAATTCTATGTTTTTATACCTTCAGTAGGATAATTTACTATCTCAAACTCTTGCCGTTACAGCTGTGTGTGCAGAAGGATGTCACCCCGAGCATGGCACCTGCAGTAAACCTGGGGAATGCCGGTGAGTTTCCAAATATTCTTTATGAATTTCATATTTTTCTACTCACCACACCGCTAACAATGTTTCCGCAAAAAATTTAAGGCGAATATTTTTTTGGCAAACTAAATATTTAATTTTTCCTGTCATTTATTAATTTTTTCCATTATACAAATTGTTTATTTCATGCTTCAAAGCTTCACACTCATACTTTTCCCTCATTAAACTTTCTGGCCTCCACTTTTTACAACTAGCATGTAATATTATTTTGTAGATGCGAGGTGGGCTGGTACGGTCCGCAGTGCAGCACCTGCCATCCTTACCCAGGCTGCAAAAACGGCCACTGCAGCAGACCGTGGGAGTGCATCTGCGACTCTGGGTGGACCGGCATGACTTGTGACAAACGTCAGTCTCATATATATATTGTCGTACTCTCAGTTATATGATCACGAAGATTAGTTTTCCCGAAATACCAATGTTAATTAAAATTTTCATTGCATAATTAAAGATAGCGTACTTCTCGAAAGTCTAAAGAATTTCTCTGCAAATTTTTTTCAATAGAGTCTAGGTCATAAATATATGTTGAATAACCGATCACAAGCCTGAACGAGTCATATCATTTTTACTTCTCTAACTCTAATCGTCCATTTCAGGAATCGAACGAATTGCCGGCTACTGCGATACAAACACTAACGTTTGCCTGAACGGCGGGACTTGCATTGACGTGCTGGGGCCTCGGAACTTCACATGCTCGTGTCCGTCACTATTCACAGGCATGCGTTGCGACTATCTTGCTGACAGAAGACCTAGACCGAGCGCTTCTTTCAAAACTTCGGTAACTCCTAGTGCTAAAAAATTCCAGTCTACACAAACTTCTACATCTGCAACTACAACTACCACATCTACGACCACACCTAAGTCGACCACTGCCAGAAAAATCAAATCCACAACGACAAAGCCCAGTTCGACTACTACGCGTCCTGAAGAAGACGTCGACGAAGATGACTATGATCCTGTGGTAGACGAGTACGATGAAGCTCCTAGAGGACAACATTCACGCATACATTCTGTAACTGCATCACCTAACAAACTCAAGCAACTGAGAGAGCAACAGGAATTGGATGCTAAAAACGCACGACGAATCTTTCTGCAAAAACAAGCGACCATAACTTTTCGACAACCCAAGATCGTACCAACGGTTCGAACCCGCTCACGGCCTCTTAAATTACCTTTCACCATCATTGACAGGAAGCATTTGTCACTTCCAGTCTTTCTGCCGCGAGTTAGTGATGTAATTAGGAAAAATGATACACTTTCGGAAAATGCAAATCAAAACGGTACTATCTTTGAAGAAGATGCTAATACGTCAGACTTAACTCAGCCAACAAATTCAACAACTGTCCTCGATCGGCCAGGAAAAGGCAGCAGAGACGATACCTCTTCCAGCTCTCGAACGGAAATGCTTCTCAAGAATGAAACTTCTTCCTTGCTCACTAATTCTATTGAGAATCCAGTTAACACTACAACAACATCTTCGCCGCCCGTCAGCGATACTTCTACTTCTTCAACAACGTTCGCAACCGCCTTACCTTCATCAAATCTTGTTATCAGCCCCGTAAAACTAGAGAGAATTGAAAGCACAGTATCGGTGAAAGAGAATTCCGATTCAATTCAAGACTCGCCATTACCTTGGAAACAAGAGCCACACAAAGACTCTCTCAAAGGAGAACAGACTATAAAAGATTTACTCGAAAATTACGAGAAACCACAACCAGTTTTGGTTGTTGACTACGATGACCCGGTGAACGAAGAACTTAATGGCATTCAAAATTCAGATGATAATCAAATTGACGGAGGTCTCAGTTTCTTGAATGAGAATAGAAGGTTTTTGGGACCAGAAAGCTTGAACTTAACACCAGAAAACTCACAGGAATCCACATCAAATGGCCCTTCACGTCCCATGTTTCTAGTGGCTGTGCGACCAATCCCACATCCAGATGGATCTGTCAGGCCTATTGGAGCAGGCGGGAATCCCCTTATAAACTTCTCACACGGCAACTTCCCATCGGCAACTTTCCTTGGAGAGTCTCAAAATGGAAAATTCTTACCGCACGGCCGATCGGTTGGTTCAGGCAGAGGTCCCATACAATTTTCATCGCCCTCATTCAGTGTCTCTAATCCTGCCACATTCAACTTGAGACACTTCGCTCCTCAGACTCGGCTCAGCAGGAGGATAGGTCATGCTTCATCCACCGCTCCCATTACCCAGCGCTACTCAACGGAAAATGGAAGAGTCGCGACTACTCACAGTTCATCTCCGTCGTCCGAAGCGAAAAATATACACTTCTACCAAGAACACTCCGACGGGAGCGTCCACATCGGAGTGAACAGGCACACGCCTCAGGAAGAGATAATAAATGCATTCATTGAAATAAAAAAAGCCCGGCCATGATTACGTAAGTTGCTGTTAAGTTCTACCCTTAAGCCAGCCATTATTTTGAGGAATAGTTGCTCCGTTGCCAGTATTTTCTATTGTACAATTGGTTTTATTGGTGTTGATTACTTCAGATTTTATCGAGATATTCTCTGTCACAGAGTGGCTTTGTCGTTAAGATGGTGCCGAGTGTACAGCTTTGTTATTATCATGTTATGCTGTTAAAGTTTTCGCCTACCTAGGGTGATTTCGCCTACCAACCTGTGACCTTGCTCATGTATGAGCACACTTGCGAACATTTATCCTACAAAAGATTGGGATTGAAAAAAATTTAATCATTTTCATACTTGAATTATACAAATAATTCTTTTTATGATAGAAATAAGCTGATAGGAGTATTTAATTTTTTTTATAGGAGGCCCATACCCTTGTTGTTAGTTTCAAGATCAAATTTTACGGTGTTCGGCTGTTATTTTTTCTCTCGAGATGCTCGTTTCGACAGGATCAGCAGACTATTATGCAGTCTGTTATTCAAGGCGTAGTTTCTTCCATTCCCTCATTTAATCATTCATTTTCCTGCCTGCAATACTTGAGAAGGTAGGGCCTAGCAATTGGGTGACTCAACGGTGCTCACATTTGCCCCGTCTTTACCATATAATATTCTTCGCCGTGATCCTTGGGATCGTCCTACTCCTACGACATGTATACCAAAGTTTGAGATGCTCTCTCGGTATTTCTGTAAGTGTATGTGATGGCTGCGTGAGTGTTTAACGACAACTTCTGTTAGGTCAGTGAACTTCATAGAAAAAATTAGAGCCATTGAAACTTCTGAATGCTTCTGACAAATGTCTCTGACAATCGAGTAATTGACCGTTATGTTTGAGCCGTGATTCCGCGAGTGCATGCGTGTAAATAATATTTTATAAGAGTTAAAAGCTAATGTAAAACATACTTCCTCGTTTTAATTGGCTCAATTAAACTGCATTTCTTTATAATTTGTGTATTACAATTGAATCATTCAACTCAGCACACACTATTTGTGGCCCCTAGAAACTTTCGACATTAACTAAGAAGAAATCGTTCACTTGGGTTCCGTATAAATAATTTGTAAAATTCGTGTGTCCTCCTTAAATTTGTACAAATGTACATACCAGAAGCTGTTCAGCAAATATTCGTGAGGAGAATACATTGTCCGTCGATTGTATTTTCGCATAAAAAACTATTGTGACTCGAGTTTAATTTATCCTTGGCCAACTTTAGGGAACCATTGTATTTTTTTCACCAAGTAACTTTCAACATTCGTAGGTATCTTGTTAGGAGTGGCATTAGCAATTACAGGCCGCTAAAGCTCCACTGCTCTACTACATTCCAGTGTTATTGCACTAAGTTGGTCGCATTCCTCAAAATTAGGTTAGTTAGAATTGAAAATGCGTATATTATATTTATACGCATGAAGCTGGATAGTCGGATTTTATCAGCAAACACAAACTGCTGAGCTGTTCAGTTTGTGTTCCAATAAAAAGTAATCACTTAGTTCTATTGTTATTTTAAATGATCACTCAATGATTAAGAGTGGAATAAAATCGTGTGGCATAATAATACTTCAATTCCAGTATTATAATTAATAATCTGAATAATAAATAATAAGAACTATATAAAGTTGACCCACGAGAAGTTCAGCCTTTCAGTTCAGCTTTCTTGTTGCGTCACTGAGATCGAGAAACGTAAACAAACCCGTCATTCCCATGACGGATTGGTTGACTGGTTTGAACGCATTTCGGTGATTGGTTAATGCCCGTGACGTCACTGAGATCAGTGACGTCACATGCGAGCAAAAAGCCCCATCCACGTAAATGAGCTTCTCATAGGTCAACCTTATACTAGTTCAACCATGATGATTGAATACGAGTCACCCGACAATTTACATACCTTGTCCCATTTATTGGATGGTATGCTAACTGTATCCGACCCATGATTCCATTAGTCATTTTTAATGGTTAAAATCATCGCCGTTACATTGACAGAAAGTCAATTTCAGTTTCTTTTAATTACAATCGCGCACCAAACCCAACAAGCCTAAAAGTGTCGAACCGTTGCAGCTTTCTGATATCGATAGAAATTGACGGCAGGCCAGGCTCGGTCTAATCTTTAACGGCGTACATAATATACTGTATACTGAGTCGTCTGTCAGACTGTTGTAGCCGAATTTGCTAGAAAAATAATCTAACCATTAGGTTGGCAATCTTCACGAACAGTACAATTCACCGGTTAAACCTTGTGCTATGCATCTTCAAATCGGTGTTACATAGATTACATACATAGTTACACATACATAGTTACATACATAGTTACACACGGAGACTTGCCTCATCCTTACGTCCATGCAGTTACTCTCGTCGTGGCATCACAAGCCTAGCAACAGCTCCGTAGCAGCCAAATTCTCTGCCTGCTGTTAGATTTGAACCTGCCAGTGTTGAAGCTGACAGCTCGACGCGAACTACAGCCTAATCTCAACTCAATGATCTGACGTTCACTTCTCCAAATCTGATGGCGTTTTGCCTAGACTTCCAGTCTTGCTGTTACCAATGAAACCAAATCGTATTAGGAGCACAGCAATGGGCTATCAATTTAACAGTTAAAGTAACCCTGGATTTATATATTATAGGCAGCCTAAATAAGCAACAGCGGGACTCGGCCTTGGAGCTACGAAGATATAGACTATGCTGGATCGACGTAAATTTTACTATTTACGCAGTGTTTTTCCTGCCAGAGGCAGAAGTGGGAAACCTCAACAAATTATGTGTTAAATTATTGTTTTGGTTGGGGACTACCCACTAAGGTTTTTCAGATTTTACGCTGATACAGTAACAAAATTATCATGGCAATTATGAAAGAAATCTATAAAAGATTATATTTTGCAGTCGCGTTTCAAATATTGGAACCGATTAGCAAAAATTTGAATAAGTTTTTTAACAATACGGTGATACATCAGGACCGTAAAAGAGCATTGAAAACTGGGTATTTAATATAATAATTATTAATTGTGATTTGAGGAAAAACAGCGTGTCGGGGTGGCCAGGAGATGTCCAAGCAATAGCCCACGCTAATGATCACGCACTTTTTTCCGACCGGTCTGTTGCAGCAATACGCCTGTGGGCTTTGTCACTAACGAAATATTGTCTGCTGAACCTGTGAAGAAGACATGTCCAAATACATATTGCCCGGTTAGTAAACATTTTATTGTTTCAAATTAAAAAATAAAGTTGCAATATTGTTCCTTATATTAAATAGTAAATTTTTACGTTTTGCAAACACGCCAAAGTTACATCCATCCGTATTTGTGAAGTCCACGTGCCGGGCACGTGCCACACGGTGCCAGAACTCTATCCCTGTCCGGCGACTTGCGCGATGAAACCCTGGTAGCCATCGTCTGGGCTGTCAGTCTGGCACTGGCAGAAAGGGTCTGTAGTCAGGGACTCTGGACTACGGTAGTCCACTAAGCCCACTAGTACCTAGTGGGCTACCCCAGTCATACAATCATTCTTTGCAACTAGTTGTTGGCGTTTTGGACTTACGGTTGCGGGTTGAACCAGGGGAAAGTTTCAAACAATTAATATCCTGATATAAAAACAGTTGAACGACTTGAACCAACAGTTACTGAGTTACCATTTATGTAGTGGAAGATTCAAGATTGGATAAAAAAACTGAAAGACCATTCAATGAGTGATAATTATTGCATTTTATTGTTAATTTACTGCCAATGCCTCGAACTTTGACACAGCACTTATGTTGCCAGTCATGCCAGAATGCCAGATTTTAACAGATATGAAATATTTTATGAACAAAACTGAGTCATAACTCACAAGGCTGAAAAGCCTGAAGCCTACAAGTCTGTAGTCACTACCCTGTGTACAGATTAAGAAAGATTTTAGTTGCTATGTCATTTATAGCATTTATAGGTAGGCCTAGCCGCCTATGTGCATGTGGTAGGCTGGCCTACTAGCTACTAGCAGTGCCTGCAGTGGTACACAGCCTAACAGCCTGTAACAGGCTAACACAGGTACAGTGGTAGACAAACTCTATGAATTGTAATTGCTACAACTTACATCTTACAACAATACAATGTTACAAGTAAATAAGTAATCACTTGATTGAAAAGTAGCATGTTGAGGCTCAGTTGAGCCGTGCAGGATCTGCACTTGCTGGCTGCTGCAGAGGCCAGATGGTGCTGACTCAGCCTGACTGCTGACTCCCTGACTGAAATGCTGAAATCATACCTAGTGTCCAAGCTCAAGCAGAGACTTTTTTTAGACTCTTCATCTCAGTCTTCTATCATTTAGGTATGTGCACAAAAAAAATTTCATTGATCATAATGAAAATTATACATGTGAAAAGAAAAGATAAATTAAGAAAGGTGTATAAATTTGAGTGGATAATTATTATATTCAATACTCAATAATAATAGGTAGGGTAAACGCGGTATATTCCGTCACATTAAGGACGCATTGAGAAATGAAAAACTATAAAAAAATAACTGTATGCAATGCGNTAATAAGCAAAAAGTAACACTTTTGTTACGAACGTAACACCTCTGGCTAGAGGCGGGAAAATGATGCGTTGTGAAAAAAAAGTCGCGCTAATCAAAACTGGCACCGCGTAGATTAAGGGTAGGTCGCAAATTTTTTTTCCGCGTTAATCAAAACCGCGGTATTCAAAACCGTGCTAATCAAGGGATTGCTGTATACTTAAAGGATTCCTAATATATTCACAGACTTATTTAAAAGTCTCAAACCCTAATATTCTTTCTACACAAACAGTTTAATATATCCAGCCAGGACTTTTAGAACCAGGACTTTTAGTACCAGGACTTTTAGAACCAAACTTGTACTTCCCATGCCCTGAAGTGAAAACTGCCTATCCACCATTTTGATCTTTTTATTGTTGTCCTCACTTGACTTGTGCACATACCTACTATTAGTATTTGGAAGATTGGATACAAGTTTTCCAAAATTGCGTGGAATTTTCCAAAATTGCTTGTGAAAATAGCCTGTTTTACATGCATTCCACTCCCTGGACAGGTTTTGGTAGTGATGGGAATTTGTAATTTAAATAATTAGTTCTGACCATCCAAAGTTAGGAATTTAAATAATTTAATTTTGGGTCAAAGAAAAATAGTCACTTGAAATTCTTACATTAAATGTGAAGTTAACTTATAAAAATAATTTAAAATTTATTTATTTTTTCAAATTTTGACTTGTGGGTCAATAAAAGTGACTTATCCCTGGCATACAAGATTACCCCAAAAAAAGTAACTCCAGCATATACACGACTCCTTCTAGGCATTGGTTGCCCATTCCAGCCTTGCTGTTATCAATGAAACCAAATCTTCATCAAAATTTATGTCATGCCACTGCACTTGGGTACCAGTACACCCTAATTATGGTTCCAGAGTTTTGAGCATAGCTTTAAAAAAAGTTTTCTGCACAGTTCACTCTAGATGTTGAACCTTTGAACATGAGAACCAGAATTTCATTTCTACCATTCTCTTGTGCAAACTAGTTAGCATATTGTGACTTGACTTTTCTTAATGCCAATTTGGAATATAGGACAGAACTCTCCTAAAATTGCTGATAAAGTCAAGCATTTCATAGGTGAGTCTGTAGAATTGTTGGTAAAAATGGCGATTTTTCATTTTTAATGCAGAAACTAGGAAAAAGTCTGTAGGAATGGGTGAAATTGGCCAGAATCATGGGCATTTCTGTCCATTTCAAGGGTGGGTTCTCCCCTCTTTTCCACTTAGGTCTTGATGTTGACTCCAACTAGAGGACCAGTAAACTGAGTAAAGCATCATGTATGCTAGCATTATGAATGTATTTTAGGTATCGAATCAAATATTGACATATGTCAATAACATAAAAATGAGCAGCAGGCAGGCTGCTAATAAAAATCTCTGGCAGTTTGACTCTACTATTTGCCTGTATGTTCTATCATACTCAGTGAGTAAACTGTGTATTATCAATAACCATTATCGACAATCAAATTCCACTACCATAAAATGGGGTAACTTAGACCACTTTTTTTTATAAATGATGCCATTTTTTTACTAGCTAAATTAAACTTGAATTGAAACATGCAAAATACAGGTCTATACTCTAGCTTCACTCACCATAAATTGCTGGCTCATGCCTCTCATAGTCTTTATGTAATTTAAAAAAAAGTGATCCCCAGCTCTTGGGGTAACTTAGACCGGGTGGTAAAATCAATTATATTTTTTGGTAAAATAACTCCAAATAACTCCAGGTTTTGGTGCATTGTAGTAGAACTCTTCTAGTTACATATGCAAATGACAAACTAGAGGAAAGTGTCATAGTTTGCAAATGGGGGGCACCGCCCCATAATGAGGGAAATGTGACTGCCTAATGGCAGCCCTGACGGGGTAATATTGACTGGCTTGGAAATTAAGTTAAAATCACCATATATAAGACACTGTAGAGTCTGAAACATAAAGAAAAAACATAAATAGGCTGTCAAACATAAAATATGTTATATATGGTAATTTTATATTAACTTCCAAGCCGGTCTATCCATTTTACGGTATTTAAAAATACATACGGTATAAAGGCTCCCAATTCTTTGATCCTAATTGAGATGTGTTAGATACTTCTAAAGTTTTTTGATCTCTATTATTCATGAACATTATGTATCCTACAAAACTAAGGTTTAGGATGCATTCAAAGAATCACATATCCCTCTTTGTAGTATATGCCAGTCAACAAGGGAATGCTCAGGCCATTGCTCAAGACTTACATGAAGAATTAGAAGAGCATCTGAAAAATAAAAATGTTACAACAGCAGTGAAATGTATCAGTGATTTTGGTGAAGATCCATCTCTATTTTCTCAGTGTGACTGTATCATTTTCATTGCTTCAACAACAGGTAATTCTACTTGAGAGCTTAATCAAAATAATTAATTTTTTTCAGCAATATCTGTGAGGCCCTTAGTGTAAAAGTTATGGCAGTGTTTATGTTTTCCTAATTATAACCACTAATTATAAACATAGAATTATGAATGACTAGGAAATCTGAATGGTGTTGAAAGATTTAAAAGTTCAGTACAGATGCACCTATGGTAAGGTACTTGCAATAGTTATAAAATGATAAGCAAAATATAGTAATTCAAAGTAATAAACACCTGCTGCACTGGACCAGCAGCTCATATCTGCCCTTCACCTTGAGTCACTGCCCCATGAGTCTGTCATGCTGCATTTTTATGTGTGGGATTATTCCCCTGAGATTAATGGATGTTGCTCCAATCATATGTATGAAAACATTTTGAAATTTTTCATTCTAATCCAGCTTTTAATTACCAATTTTTCAATTGTCTGGGGCATTGCACCAGTGATTCAGGCTATGGCATTACCTTACAGATAGGCTGTAATGATTTCTATAAATCGTTTAATATCTCCTATTCTCCTCCACAATATTTAATATAAATCAGACAATCTTTAGGACTAATTAATGATGAAATTTGTGCACTATTTCAGGGTGCTGCCAAAAATGTTCATCTAACATATGTGTATACAAATGTTATTGCATGCAACTCAGTACCTTCTATATGACCTCCATTATTGGTGAAAAGCATGCTCCAGTAATGGTGTTCATTAAATGAACAGCACCATAAGCAATAAAAGTTACAGTAATGATAATAATGAACTTCATGTTCTACTTTATGCAATTGTCTGCTAGTGGGTTATTTAAAGAAGATAATATTTCCATGATAAATTTTCTGCATTTCACCATACCTGAATCTCTACCAATCTTCAACTTCTGTTTTTAAATTGTTTTATTGCTTTGGTTTTGTTCAGAGGTTCTCCATCTCCACTCAGCACTTGCTACTTACAATTCACTTCATTCCAATCAGCTGTGCAGCTAAACAAGTCTGGTGTCCAGTCTCATTCCACCCCAGACAACCGTATATGATTCATTTTATTTGAAGTATTTTTTTTAACTAACCTACATTAGTTTCATTCTCACTAATAGTACTATTCTGGATACGGCATTAACAAATTATTGGTGTTAGTGATCCCGAGCTAACCACGTTTCTCTTCAGGCTGTATATACACCAAAGAGATGGCTGCTTAGCTGAGAAGAATGGATGTAGGAGTGTGTGTTGGAGATGAAAGACTAAAAATGTTACTTTATACAGATGATGCGGGAATAGTGAGTGAAAATGGGGTTGAACTTCAGAGTATGCTTGACTGTATAACTGAGTATATGTTAAGTAGGTATTTTAATGTGCGCTTTAGCCTAGAGAAGAGTCAGGTGCTAGTTGTAAATGAGCAGCTGAGGATGTGAATGGAGTGTGGTGGGAGGAAATGTGATTGGGATGAGAAATGAGTACAGGTACTTAGGAATGAGTGTTGACCAAAAAGGATGTGAGAGAAATTAAGCTTTGAGTTTTAGTAAAGCTTATCAAGGGTTGGGAATACTGCGTAATGCAGCAAGAGTGAGATCAAATAAGTATGAAGTCCTGAAAGAAGTGTTGGAAAGTGTGGCAGTGCCTGGAATTATATATGGAATGGATGTTATTGCAGGGAATGATGGTGAACTGGATAAACTGGAGGTTGTACAAAATAGGATAGCTAGACAGGCCCTTGGGTCCTCTGAATGGACTACAGTGGAGGCTTTGAGAGGAGATATGGGATAGAGAACGTTTAAAAAGAGATTAATGAAAGCAGCTTTGGAGTACATAGTACTGTACAACTAGAGAGAATGGATGATGAACGTTGGGTGTGTAAGTTGTAGTACCTGTGAAACATGAGGGTGAGTAAATGGGAACGTAAGTGTCATGCAATAGTATGCAAATGTGGGATACATGAGACTTTGGTTTGCAGGATGCATAATAGACTAGATGTTTATTGGTTAATGACAGTACATGTCTTAACTGGGATAGAATGGGATGTTGAAGAATGAAAGAAATAGAGGAGAGAGTGAAAATGTTTGGTTTTAGAACATGGAAGCAAGGATTGGAAAGACAGGATAGCCTCAAGCTGCATAATATGAAAGAGATGCCTAAGTATGAATGCATATATGATGACAGTAGTGATGGTGACTTGTTTTGTTGAAATGTATTCGAGATTAAGGATTCAAGTGTGAATGCACAGACATTCAGGTGGAATGAAAGACGAGAAGACATACGTTTCATGTGTGATAGAGGCAAGAAGGAAACTGTGGAACACCTGATGATGGAGTGTGAAGCATATGAGAGAGAAAGGCTAGAAATGATGCGTGACATTAGATGAGAGAGGTGAGGCTGGTGGTGCGATGCATGAGTGAACGGGAGACTAATAGATTACGATGATAGTGGGTCTGTCATCAGGGCCCACGACTGAGAGAAGAAAGCGTTATTTGGAGAGTGCATGCATTTTTTTACAACTTTGTAAATATCGGTCCCACAAAAAAAGTTATACATGACGAAGCAGTAGCCCATTTTCCAATTAGCTTTATAATACTAATGTAAAGCACTAGACCAAATGGTTCAATAGTTAGGAGGCAAAAACCCGATTTTTGAGGTATAACTACTGAACGGAGTGTTTTAATTTATTTGGTTCAACTTTTTGGGAGTGGTCCAAAGTGTCCCCGAGCGGTGTGCAAAATTAAGAAAACAATTGAACAGGTGTTTGCCGTGGTCATTTAAAAAAAGCATCGCCTTTCTAAGTAACAGTTTTTATTGTCATAAATGCCCGATCCGATATATAGTAAATTTAGAGAAGTGGAGCCAATAACCTCTCGTTTGGTTTTTACCAAGTTGGGTCCCGAACAAAAGCTCGCTGTCTGACAAGACGTCAGAGCAAGGCCCAGGATTATATTCACAATTTTCGGCGAGGGTGGCAAAAATTGCTCGAACGGGTGCATATAATGCATTTCATATGTGAGTTCTATGTAAATATTGGGCTTGTACCAGTTTCTTTTAATTGTTGAGATTCGACACAATAAAAGAGGGGTTATGAATGACCGGATTTTGAATAACGGTAATGACGAGATTCAGTTTAAAGGGAATGGTGTTATTTGAGGTGACAGGATTAAAAAATTACATGAATTATCGAACCCGGGCGTAGCCGGGAGCTAACCTGCTAGTAGTATACTACGTATATAATAAATTTTGGCCAATTTACCAGTGAGATCCAGTAAGGCAACTCATCATTGGTTTTCATTCCTCAGATGAGAAATAGAAATGAATTCATAAATTTTCACAGCATAATGTATGAATGTTCACAGTTTCTTAATGAACTGGTACCACAGGTGACGGAGATCCTCCTGACACGGCAAAGAAGTTGTGGCGCGTCCTGAACAAATGCAGCAAGGCTCGTGACGCGACTACGACGCCGGCATCGCCTCAGGACTCTGCGTCTGGCACAACTCCGACGTCTCGGCTTATCAGTGTTTCGTCCTCTTCCAGCATCCACAAGGATTCATCAGAAAATATTGATAAAGAATCATCAGAAAATTTAAATATTCTTCCCCAATCATCTGAAAATTTAAATATTCTTCCCCAAGTAGAAAAATCTTTAGAAAATGAAATTTCTATTGATGAAAAGTCAGTTTTGCCACCAGTCAATGTAGACCACTTGACTTATACGGTCCTTGGGTTAGGCGACACCAATTATACAAATTTTTGCAACTTTGGCAAAAATCTCGACAAAATTCTACATAAACTTGGAGCTAAAAGGTACGTGCAAGTTTATGTGTGCTGAAAAAGTTGAAATATATTAGCTTCATTTTGTCCAGTCTTTAGTCAATGACTTTCTTCTTGACGCCTTAGAACGTTTTTGCTTACCAAGCCAGCGGCTCCATTTCTCAAACACCTCGTCATGTCTTGACTATATTGTTGCTATCATTCTAATTATATTGCGTTGGAAATTTACCTCTGAAGTTTCCTTATTAGTAAATTTTAATGATACTCGCCGCCTTATTGTGTTTCTTTTATGCCCGTGGAGGAAGTTTTTTCGGATGCATGATGCCTCGTAAACAACGGCCTCTATTCGTTTCTATTGTAAAAACATCAGAAATAATGTTGTTAGCATACAAGCCACAAAATGTTCCAGTGTTTACAACACTTACACGGCGTTCTGGTGTTGCCAGATATATATTTTTCCCAATTATATACGTCATTTTGGCCGCTCTCCTGACTGCCTCTTGCATCCCAATGAACGCTCCGTCCCTGACTGCCTCTTGCATCCCAATGAACGCCCTGTCCCTGACTGCCTCCTGCATCCCAATGAACGCCCCGTCCCTGACTGCCTTCTGCACCCCAATGAACGCCCTGTCCCTGACTGCCTCCTGCATCCCAATGAACGCCACGTCCCTGACTGCCTCCTGCACCCCAATGAACGCCACGTCTCCGTCCCTGACTGCCTCCTGCATCCCAATGAACGCTCCGTCCCTGACTGCCTCCTGCATTTCAGGTTCTATCCGTGTGGGTGGGCAGACGACGGCACGGACCTCGAGATCGTCATAGAGCCGTGGAAGGAAACACTCTGGGCCGCAATATCTCAACACGTTTCCGAACTAGCGATGCACAAAACATTGCCAGACAAAGACTCCAATATGACTCACTTTTCTGCATCAGTAGCCAAAGCGTCTCTAACGGAGTTCGACATCCCCCCATCTCACGAGCGGCAACCTCGAGAAAGGGAAGATGAATGTGATTCCGATGTGATATCTAAGCTCGATGAACTTTGTGTTGATGACATCGACTTGTGTTCCGAGTGTCATCCTTTACTAAGATTGGAATTGGCGAGCGATAGAAAATTAGTTCTTCCGAAAATTCCTACCTTGGATGCTATCATAATAAATATTTCCAATGAAATATATTCGGCTGAACTGCCTAACAAATACCAGAACGGGGCCTTGCTTCCAAGTGCCCAATCAGATACTATAGAATGTGATATTTTAAAATTTCGCAGTCTTAGTAGCGAAACGCCGGGTAAAGCCGTTAAAAAAGTGGCGGAGTTGATATTACAACCACCTGCCGCATGCGAGAACGACCTCAAGTACGAACCCGGTGACAGCGTTGCAGTTCTTACTTACAACAACGAACATGACGTTAATATTGTGCTAGAGAAACTATCTGTTACAAAACCTGATAATAAATGCAGCCTTGAAAGAAATCCAGAATCGAAGAAACCGTTGCCAACGCATCTGCCAGTCTGTAGCTCGCTCCGAGAGATCTTTACAAGCTGTGTTGAAATAAGATGCGTGCCCAAAAAAGCTGTGCTGTTACAGTTTTTGAAGTGTTGCTCAGACCCTCACGAGAGTAGATGTCTGCAAGAACTAGTGTCCAGAGAAGGTTCTGAATTTTACATAAAGAAGGTGGTCGAAGATCGAATTACTTTCATAGATCTTCTGTGCGCATTTCCTTCATGCAAGTTACAAGTATCTACACTACTCGAAGTACTGCCCAGGTTACTTCCACGAGCGTACTCTCTGACAAGCACACCTTTGAGCAGTACTCATTATTTATCATTCGCTTACAGCCTCGCTATCATCCCAAAAAGTGCGGTGAGGATGGAAGAGAGAAAGGGAGTTTGTACAGGTCTGTTCGACTCGCTCAACAGTGCGCATGTAGACGGTGACAAGACTAGGAAACTGTCTTTGTATCTTCGCTCAAGTCAGGCATTTCGGCTGCCGGGTGACCCGACGAGGCCTATCATTATGGTGGGCCCTGGCACAGGCGTTGCTCCGTTCATTGGGTTCCTAAGGCACCGTGAGCAGCAGCTCCAAATGGGTATGTTAGACTTGACAACGATGGGAGAGACGTGGCTTTTCTTCGGGTGCCGATTTCGAGACGCCGATGAGTTGTTCAAGGAAGAAATTCAACATTTTGTTAATACTAAAATCTTGACTCATTTTCATCAATGTTTTTCAAGAGAGTATTCGCGATCCAACTTTGGTCGTCAAATGCAGCCTCGGTACGTGCAAGATCTTCTTGAATGTCACTCTGCAAGACTCACTTCCGCAATAGCTGATGAAAAAGCGATCATTTACGTCTGTGGAGATGCATCTAAAATGGCAAAGGAAGTACATTCTACGTTCTCTTCATTGCTGGCTAAACATTTTGGAGACGAAACGCAAGCCTCAGAATACTTGTCACAAATGCAGAAAGATAAAAGATATATGCAAGACGTATGGACCTGATATGTACACCGTCCTCACAGAGCACCTCGTAGTGGGCATTAAAATAACATTAGTTTTTATATAATTCTATTTAAATGAATCAAGTTTGTACATGAGATCCACAATATACGCGTTGATGGGAAAACTTAATCCTGCCTCATTTGTCTCCTGCTTCTGCCATCTGCAAGAAAATAACACATGTAGCATGAGCATTTGAAAAATATATTATACAATAGTTCTCATAGCTAGTAACAACCCCATGATGACTAATTTATGAAAGACTATGGCTAGAGACTTTCTAAAAAATAAGTTGGAGTAAAGCAGTAAAGAATTTCAAGTTCTCATAAAATTTTTAATAGTACTTGAACATTGTTGGTGACCAACTCCAATTTTCCAAAAGCTAAAAAATACAGGTATCTTTCTTTATTGGCAAAAAAAATTAAAAAAAAAAAAACGTTGCTTAATTCGAATAATCATTGCAAATTTTAATTAAAGAATATAATGGAGTTGATTCCATTAAATATTTAAACTAAAGAATATTGACAACCTTTCATTAGACTTGTGTTCCCCAAGCCATATTTGCTTATGGATTTAGGCAGGGTTGGCGGCCATGACGTCATAGCCAACAAACTCGTTGGCGATCTTGACGCTGACTGCAAACAACACTATGCTCTTGATGCATGACCTGGAACACGAAAGTTTTAATGTATAAATAACTTATACCTAGCAATTAAATGACAGTTGAGAGTTAAATTGATGGCAATACATTTTGGCATATAATGAAGTGTTCATTGTCAATACGATGTCTTAAAAAAACTACTGCCAAGTGCAATAGTAACAAAATAAATTGGCATTTTTGATATAAGTGAAATATTTTACTAAGTATTTTCAACGAAGTAGATAAGTAAATGTGGATCTTAATTACGACATATTTGAGTAGAACTAAGCAAAGACAATGAATGGTGATGTGCATCATCTGCTGCATCTGTCAGTTAATTGATAATTGTTGAACACTTGATGCTACGATGGTACCTAAATTCTGTAGAAAAATTCTACAATCAGTACTAATTTCATTCTCAACATGAATGATATGAAAATTCTGTTTTTTTTTTAATACTCATTACGTAGAATGGTTTCAAAGAAAAATTCTATGCTTTTGGCAATTGGTCCTTGCTGTTTTTCAAAATTCTAATTTTTGAGGGTGGGGTGGACATTTTTCAAATAAATTTTGATTCCCCCTCCCACCCTTTTGAATTCCCCCCCCCTTTTTTCAAAATATTTTCAAAATCATAACGAAATTGAAAAAAGCTACAAGCAAAATCTAGATCTTTTATGTGCAAATCGAACGGTATATCTCTTATTGCTGTAGCTTAAAAACTCTAGAAGGAGATAGGTTTGCAGTGACAATAAGTGTGAATGTTCAATAGAGCGTTTCTTGAAATTCGAATTTTTCTGGGCGTGGGGGCATTTTTCGTAAAATTTCCAAAAACTTTTCAATTTCCCCTAATCCCCCCCCCTCTTTTTTCAAAATATTTTCAAAACCATAACGAAATTAAAAAAAGCTACAAGCAATCTCTAGATCTTTTATGTGCAAATCGAACGGTATATCTCTTATTGCTGTAGCTTAAAATCTCTAGAAGGAGATAGGTTTGCAGTGACAATAAGTGTGAATGTTCAATAGAGCGCAACAAAGTCCCGTGCGCCTCAAAATAGGCATTCAAGGTGGCATGGATACAACTAGACGTTACTGGAGCTGAAATTCAGTCAAGGATGGTGGAATGACTGCATGAGCACCATCCCACACAACAGCAGCCGGGTAACTAAAGATCAGCGTCTTCAGACCGTCTATTCATGTTATATATAACAAAAAAATATCAATCAAACAAGAGACAACTAAACAATTCTATAACAAATTTGTGGTACTACACAATTGAAAGATTGTCCACTTTTGATCCTCCTTTTCCTTTATAGTCAGAGTCACCTGCCACCTGACAGACCACTGCATCTAAGGAAAGCTTTCCACTTGGGTGGAATGACGAGAGCTTCCCACCTTTGGTGGAAAGCTTTTTTATAAGTGAACTTCAGTTCCTAGAATTCCACCCAGCCCTATGGTCTTTTCCCAATTTATTTAGAAGCATGTAAGTACAATGGCCTATTTTGACCACCAGCAATTTTGTAAAATCACATGTGAAACTATAATTTCTACCTGCAATTTTATGAAACTTTTGCTCAATATTGCAAAGAGGTATTATGCCAAAAATTCAATGGAACATTAGAAATAGCAACAAGAACATTTTTGTTCACTTGACTTCCAGGATGCAATAAATCCTGTGATAAACGCTATATTTTACATTTTTATTGCAGTTTTAAATAAGCAAGTGATCATTAACACCTCTTAATCTGTTACCCTGGGAAGGATCAAGAAAAAAACTCTCCTTTGCATGCATATCAGCGATTCAGATTTCAGCCCATATCATATGGACTATATTCACTATAGTTATAACAGATAAAAACAGATTTACAGATACCTCAAACAGGGTAATAAGGGACGGTTTTGAGCATTTTTTGTTAATAACTTCTTACCATGAAACATTTCATAAACAAGTTTGGGCTCATTTCATAGCTTTTTGTGAGGGCTATCTTATGGCATCTTCAAAAAATTGCATATGCTATTTGTAAGGTGCCAGACTCAAAATAAAAGTCTCCCAAATTACCCCTGGGAAATGATAATCTGGGACACTTGAAATAAAAGTTTTAATTTTAAAATGTTTGGAGTATGCAGAGTGTGCTCATCTGACATCAATTACTAACAGTAATCTGAAGTCCTCATTTTCCTTTGTAGATGATGTAGAGTTAGAACAGTGGTTCCCAAAGTGGGCGATATCGCCCCCCTAGGGTCGGTGGAAAGATTTTGGGGGGCGGTAAGACAGAAGAGGGCGGTAGTCCGAAGTCAAAGTCAGAAGTTTCAATGTTTGTTTGACAATTTCTACACAACACGTGCAGCAAATCATGACTCCCAGCAATGTTTTTTTTCACCCCGATCTTTTCAACTTCTCCTGGGTTTAAGTCCCCAACAAAGTAATGGCCGGACTCAAGGCCAATTTCCAAATTCAATGAACAATGAATATCTCACAAACTAATGAACTTAACTCAATTAAACTTGATACACGTAATCATTGGGACCCCACGGTAAAGTTTAGCTTGTGAAAATTTATTTGAATTTCGCCTTCATTTGTTTTTGCTATAGTTATGTGGCAATATGGGCCAAAATTCACAGTGATCAAGGAATTTCTTCCAAACTATCAAACAGATTTGAACAAAATTTTGAATTTACAATCCTAACTACCAAACGGTAATGTTTAGCTTGTTAAAAATTTATTTGATTGTGCCTTTGTTCGAGTTCTTTTTTTCATTTCACCTTTATTCGTGATTTAAACAGCAATACGTGCTTAAATTCGCAGTAATCAAAAAATTTCTTCCAAAACTACTGAAAAGATTTGAACGAAACTTAGTACGGTATTTAAATACCTAACCTCAGCAACAGTGATGTTTAGCTCGCTTTTCGTTTTGTCTTCAATTTTTTCGTTTTGCCTTCATTTGAGAGTTACACGCATACGGATACCGTCAAACGGGGTAAAAAGGGACGGGCAGGGTAAATAGGGACAGGCGTCCCATATTTCATAGAAATGTTGTAGCAGCTAAACTAATCAAATCCTTGCAAAACTAAAAATAGTGGTGTAAACTTAAATTATTTTTACTATCTATTATGTATGAAGCTAGTCAAGAAATCAAACATTTACTATCTATAAAAAATTGCTGAAAAAAGTGTGAAAAGTGCAATTTCGGAAAAGTACCTCTGCTAAGGTCTGGAGCAAAAAAAAATACTTACCATATTGAAAAATTTCACTTACATAAAAGTTGCACCCAGGTGTTGGCTTGAAAACTTAATTGACAGAATTTGTCCATCTCATTAAAAAAATAGCAGCCATTTATGCGCGATGGGGTAAAAAGGGACACCCTCCCAGGGTAATTAGGGACACTCTTAAAAGTATTTACAGTAGAACCTCAGTTAGCAAAGGCTCCAGTTAACAAAAAAATTGATTAACAACAAAGANTAAAACTAGGAGTATTATACGCTGCAAAAATTGGTCGAAATTGAAACTTAGAAGCAAAATCAAACTTGTGAATTTTAGGAAAGCCATATAAAATACCAGGGCAAGAACCAGAGGTATAAAGTTTAGTATAAGTTTCAGGTGAAAGGGCAGAAGAATCTTCAAGTGTACGCTCCCAAGCACGATAGTAGGAACATTATTTATTGTTCTTTTCCATACTTTGGCCCAGCATCCAAAGCTATGTCAAGAGAATTAAAAGTCTTGTTCAATAGATAATTTCCAAACGTTAAACTCCATATTGTTCTGGTAAACAGTTTCAAAATCAGTTCTTTCTTTAGATATAAAGATATGCTCCCCATTCATATACGATTGTCCCTGGTTTATCAATTTCGTTGTGCATAATGTGCATCAGCGTAAGTCAGGATGAGGTCACGCAATCTTTATTCCAGGATCGCTGAGCATAAGGGCAGGAGTTGTAGGACCGGACAGTTGCTATCGCGCCCCCCTCATTCGGCTGTGCACACTCACGCCAAGCAGTGTGCTGTGCCTGTTTCTGACAGTGACTTTAGGGTGTTAGCTTCTACCTCCGGTACTTCAGATTTGCGTATCTTAGAATCATTGTACATTTTTAAGCTTAGGCCCAGTTTAAATTCAGCTGTGAGCTCCTATCCCCTTGAAATTGTGAATAGATAGGTTTTATGCCCTATTACTTGGAAATTTAGGTTCTAATTGTGTTCTGTGCTTTCAATTGTATTAACTTGTGACCTATGTATATTCTAGATTCTACGAACTGACGATGGAGCTGGACTCCGAAACGTTTTCTATAAAGATATGAATTTTTGTGGACTATTCTTTGCTTTAAAATTTTTAGAATGAAAAGTAATTGACCAAAACTATGATTTATTTCTTCAAAACATATGATGGTTGTCACTAAAACATTATATTCTGTTTCAGGTATGTTTTTCACGATCTTTTTTGTTATAGTGAAATCACTAGACTTGATGAAAATTGTGCAAAATTACAATCCATCCTGTAAGCTTAGATACAGAAGAAATGCTACATAGCTGCTGATATGAAGCTTGCAGTGGGCAAGGTCGTGGTCAATGCTCAAAGGCATGTCCATGGATACAGTAATATCACAAAATTATAATACAGTAATTAATGAATATGGTAATATCATATCAATAAAGGAAAAACAAGTAAAAATCACAGAAAATGTCATTTATTTTACATCTACAATGAAAGAGGAGGACTTCAGAGTAGGTACTGTTAATAATAGATGAGTACACTCTGCATTCTTCAAATGTTTGAAATTGAGTTTTATTTCAAATGTCCCTTTTTACCCCATTTCGAGATTAATTCAGGAGCCTTTCATATTGCGTCTAGTGCCTTACAAATAGCATATGGAATTTTTTTGAAGATGCCATTCAATAGCCCTTGCAAAGCGCTAGAAAAGGAGCCTAAACTTGTTTCAGAAATGTTTCATGGTAAGAAGTTATTAACAGAAAGCGCTCAAAACCGTCCCTTTTTACCCCGTTTGATGGTATATGTACGTGAACAGCTCTTGATTAAA